CTCTCAACCATGTTTCTTCCATCCACATGAATTTTAATAATTCCTATAAATAAATCTTATTGGTGTATGTACATGACAAATATTTAAACATGTGATAGAAACTAGTTTTCAAATTTATAAAAATAAGAATTAAACATAATTTAGTCCTTATACATGTTGCATATTCTCAATTTGGTCTCTATATATAAAACCTTATTAATCAATTTGTTAAACGTTACCTCCAATTTGGCTTGGTTACCGACACCATTAACCCCACTACACATTGTTATTTCATGTAAAGACAAAATCAATAGCATTTACATGTATAGGGACAATTTAATAGTAAATTTTTACATGTAGAAACCAAAATGAGAATTCAAAAATATGTGTAGAGACTAAATTATATGTATAACCTAAAAATAATCACATTAACAATTTTAAAAAGCGACAAATCTTTGGTCAAAGCAGAATGGTGATATTTACAAAATCTAAAAATATATTTAAACTATGATTTATATATGTTTTTAACTCATCAAATTTAGGGTAAATATGCTTTTTTTTTCTCAAATTTAAAATTATTATTTTTAATCCTTATAATTTTTAAAAATTTTGTTTTAATTCCTAAAATTACCGATAACCTTGTTCGCAATAATATTTGGCAAATTTCTAACTATACATGACTAAAAAAACCGATTTTAAATATAAGAGACTAAAAAGAAATTCAGTCATAAAGGACTAAAATCATATTTACATCTTAAACTAATTTAAAGTATATACGTAAATATTAAACAACATGATGAATTTGATGATGAGATAAATGAGTGTTAGTTAGTACCATGAAATTTTGGCTGGCCCCTTGTGAGGCACGTGACTGAACACGGCCTCGACTGCGTCCTTGAGTTCCGCAACGGTGGCCGTCTTCGAAACTTGAATATCTGCGAAACGCGAGGAAACTCTTGCATCGAATCGAATCGAAAATAAAAAAAAAAATAAAAAAATAAAAAAGCAAGTGAGAGTGAAGGAATGAATGAGAATGATTACGGAAAGAGGAACCGTCTAGTTTGAGGACGGTGAGTCTGAGAGGTTGGGAGGGAAGCTTGCCGTAGAAGAAGGTTTTCCTGGCCAAAATTCCTTCCATTATGGCCAGCGAAGAGGATCTCCGAGGGCTCTTAGGGTTTTTGGCGTTGGGGTCTAGCAACCTCATGATGATGATGATGATGGCGATGGCTTAGAGGGAGCGTGTGAAGGCCTTTATAGAAGGGAAAGGGAGAGATTCTTGGAGCGGAACCACACGCATTGTGGAACGGAAATTGGTGGAGTTAGGGTTTTGCTTTTCGAACTTTGGTGTAGTTCGTTGATGCGATGCTGCTTCTGTCGGAGAGATTCTAATTCCAGCTTTTTGTATCGAGGAAGACAGAGGACTAGACGAAACCGTTCCACGCGCGCCAACGGTCTTTTCCCCTCGCCTTGGGCTTTCACTTTCTTTTGGGCCTCTGCCTACACCTTACCCACTAATTCAAATTTCATATCTTCATCATGCCATTTGTCAAATTTTTAGGAGGTGTATAAGATTTTAAAAAAAAAATTAGTTGAAAAATGTTACGTGAATTTTAAAAGATTTTGTAGAATTTTTATGATTTTTAAGATTTTGTAGGATTTCACAAGATTTTCAATAAGGATTTTAATGGATTTTGCATGACTTTTAAATTAGGATTTTAATGGATTTTGTGAGATTTTGTGAACTTTGCAGAATTTCGTAGATTTTTGACATACGATAAGAGTTCAAGATTTTTTTTCATACATTCAAATTTAAAAAGAACCAAATACAAAAATAATAAAAAAAAAATAACAATGTCTTAAATAATAATAATAATTCTTCATAATATCATGTCTTTCTAAATAACATTCACCCATATATCCATAGCTATACTATTCCTCAAGCATTGGCATTTTTTCACTCTTGTTCTTGAGTTTTAATAATAGGCTCAAAATTATGATTTTCATTAACCGCTAATATTGAAATAGAAATTTACAAACATCAACTAGGAGAAAAAAAATTGTATCTAAAATTTGTTACAGGTGCAAAATGTTTTTTTTTAAATTTTTTAATTGCTTTCAATTATTTTCTCATGAATAAATATTTTTAGTATTGAATTCTAAGATACTGCAATGTCTTATGTTAATTTTCTTTTTTAAAATATAAAAATTCTAATTTTACAATATAAAAATTAAAAAAATCATAGTAAAAAAATAAAATAATAAATAATTATTGTCATAAAAGGGAATGATAACAATAACAAATTCAAGAGAGGGAAAGATATCATAATTTTTATGTTGAGAGGGTTCTTCATATCCATTCTTATCTCATTCTATTTACAGAAACCGTAACTCAAATTCATCTATATATATATATATATATATATATATATATATTCTAATAAATTTAAATTGATTACAAAGATCTATAGTTGATTATAGAGATCATAATATCAATTTTAGTTTTTACCTTTCCCTTTTCTTGACGCGTGTTATAAAAAAAATACTACAGTTGAAATTTCAAACGTTTTCTGTGTTATATAATTGAGAAACAATCTCAACTAAATAGAGCAAGTCAATTAAAGAGAACGAAGAGAAAAATAGAGCAAGTCAATGACACTATCATTTATATATAAAAGTTTCACTAAATAGGAGAATAGAATGGGAACAATAGTGCAGTATTATTAGCAAAAGAAAAAAATGGAGAAGACATGAGCATAGTAAAAATAACAGATGAAAAACTCACTTGAAAATTCTTGAAGCACTTGAAAAGTCACTTCAAACAATCCTTCAAAATCTGATGGGTTTAGATGGAAATGTTTTATGAATTTGGTATTTATAGATACCACTAAAAAGTCCTTCAAAATCCCTCTAATACAATAATCCTTTAAAATCTCTAAATTTTTGAATACCAATGGATTTTTTTTAAGTAATAAAAAGTCTCAAATGAATATCAATGGATTTTAATGAACTTTTTAAAAAATCTTGAAAATCCAGATTGAATACCAATAAATTATTTTTAAGTAATATAAAATCATGATCGAATACCAATACTTTTTTACTCAAAAAAATCTTTTAAAATCTTATGAAATCATAAACCAATACACTTCCTTTAAATTAATAATACATGAAATATTTTAGGCTGAATTACTCTTTTCATCTCTCAATTTATTTAATTTAACCCATTTATTGTTAAACGATTTAATTTTGTTTTTTAATTTTATAAAATAGTACAATGTGGTAATCTCTATCAAATTGAAACGACTTTAAATATTTGTACACATAACGATACACGTTGTTTTTTTTATTGTGTGACTTGTACAAAAAGTTAATCCAGATAGTTTCATTTGGATGAAAATGACAATATTGCATTGTTATAGTAAATTAAGTAGGCAAATTAGACATTTTCATAATAGAGATCAAAATGATTAAATTAAATAAGATGAGAATCAAAGAATAATTTGAATAATAATTTATATCAATATACAATTATAAGTTTATTGGTTTTGTAATAATTATTTTAAATATTATATTTTACAATTAATATACTTTTTGTTTTCAGTCATTTCTTCACATGCTTTAGAGTTTGATTTTCATCATTTTTTAGGTGATGATGTGATATTATTAGTAATTAATTAATTAATTATTACATGTGGAGATTTGGGATCACTTGGTTAGTAAATGTTCATTCTTATTTCTTAAGTATGTTGGTATTGTTGTTAAAGTTGCTATGGATGGACTTTAGAACTACTTTGGATGACTTTAAGATATAAGTATTAGTGCGACGAGTTGAGATAGATATGTTTGTGTCCTTATCTGATCTAAAAAGAAGTTTAAGTTCAATTTTGTGAACCTAAATATAATCAAATCAAGACTCAAAGAATGGTGACAAGATTGAGTCAACCTAACTTGTTAGCATAGTATACTAATTTAATATTATATATAGTTAAATTATGAAGTTAAAAAATCTACAATTACAATTAAGATATTTTTTATGATATATATTTCAAAATAAATAATATCAATATAAATATAATATTATGTTAGGCAAAACATGATTTATTAATCAAAGAAATTATATTATTAATACATAATTATTTAACAAAATAGTAAATATATGGTGTTGGACTAAGTTGGGATGACATAAAAAATAATTCAAACCTATTCTTAAGATACATCAAGTCCAATTTGTTAAAGTCAAACTCGTCAAAAGCCCCTTTAAATCAGGTTGGACTAGTGACTGAAGTCATGTCATATAGAGTCCTTAAGTAAGATATTTTGAGTTTAAGAGGGAAAAAAGTATAGAAAGTAAGATAACTTCTCTTCCACTCATTCCTTCCCTTGTCTTCTTACACCAAATGAAGGAAGAATTATAAATCTCAGTTTTTTGCACCTCTCCCCTCAATTCCCTCTACCAAAGACTGAATTTTTAATTTTTTTTCTTTAAACAAGGAAAAATTATATTCTCTTGTTTCCATTTTCACTCTTACCAAACAACTTCAAAATTATATTAGTGTGGAACTACGCTTGAAGGCTTTACCTTTAAAATTAAAAAGGAAATCATTTGGTATTCAATTTTTATTAATAAACTGAAATATATTCAAATAAAACTCCATGAATTATAATTCTAGTAACCAAGTTTTCCTCTTGGTAATATATCTTTAAAGTAACCAACACAATATTGCCAAATAAAAATGGAGTAAAACATTAATTTAACCCCTAAAATTTTGGCCACTGGTTAATTTAATATCTAATATTATAAGAAAGCAAATTTACATTCTTAATTTGACACCTATCCACCATCGGTATTTTTTACATGCACGTAAATATCAACAAACTCAAATCCACATGCATAAAGTAGCCAAGGACCAACACACATACAATTTGTAATGAATTCAAGTTACAAAAGATGGCTCAAACTTGTAAGGGACTACGGGTGTCCCCCACCAAAGCAAAAAAAAGCTAATTATGAACAATTCCAGATATGCTTAAGTGAAAATTAGTCCCCTGTCTTGGAATTATTTAGTAAACACTTATATTGTCTTTTAGTCGAATTTTCTCCCCGCAATGAATTTGCTATTAAAATACAGTGTTTGTTAACAGTTACAACTTACAAGGAGCCATGCATGAGATTCATCAAAATGCAATGGGTGAACATACTATTAGATCAATAGAGGTTTGAATACAGTAAAGCCTTGAAAGCCTTTCTCGTCTGATTCCCCAGAAACTGTTTGTATGTATGTCAACTTGTATTTAGCAAAACTTCCCAGAAGTATAAATTAGTCGTTCGCATGTTACCAGACCCAAGTTTGATTCAGATTCTTCTCCATTTTCGAGGGATGCGGTGATGGGAAGATGACTGAAGCAAATGGCACTCCCAAATTGGAAAAAGACTTCATCTATAGGACTTGATAAGTTATTTGCCAATGAGTTTGTAGTAGGCGTATAAACCAGATCCAGTAAAACCGAGACACTGCCCAATTACGTTCCACTGAAGTCAAATAAAAACACATTCTACCATCAATAAAAATATTATACTCAGTTGGGAACACCAGAACAACAGAAAGGACAAGAACACTCACAACATCAAACGGTAGCCCACCAAAAATTATCCAGCCAAGGCCAATAGTAAATAGATCCTAGACATCAATACAGAACAATTAGAAAGCATAAAACAATCATGACTCTTGAGAAAAAGAGAGAGCCCAAATTAGAGAGATAGAGAAAAGTTCAGAGACTGAATGAATATTGATACAAAACGAGCTACACTTTGGTTTATATATGCGAAGAGAATAATTAATGTAAATAATCTTAAACCCTAAAATTTTCTTATACCCCCGCCACCTCCTCTACTCCCTCTAGAAGGTAGAAGGTGCTTATACTGAGGCATAACAACATTGGCAAAATACAATGTCAAAAGATCAAATTATTTCAAATGTTGGTGTGTTTATCAATGCCAACTTACGCAACAAGCTCAATCACCAAGCAAAAATTACACCCAATGCTTCATAATGTGTATTTGGGTTCATGTTGATTCATCCAAAATCATGTTGAAATACCGGATAACGTGATTTTAAGTGAATTTACATGTTTGGTTTTCACATTGAAGAATTGATTTTGAGCTGAAACAACTTTAGGTAGTTAATGAACTGTAACCAGAGTCAGCAAAGAACAGAGAGCAAAGTTAGATTTAGAGTAGTACAGGATTCACCAGAAGGACAGCATTAGCAAAATGATTCACTTCATAGCAAGAACAACTGCAAGAATTTCAAATAGATCACCAGATTCACCACTAACCAAAGCATCAGAAACACAACAACTCCACACAAGTCGAAATCTTCAAATCAGAATCACAAACCAGAATATGAGACCTTCATATTGCACCATCCAGACCTTCCACAACTTGAATCAGAGGGCACCTCCTAGTTCAAAGACTCTTGATACCACATACTCAAGATCAGATTCAGAATTGTGTTTGCATTTCAATATAAAACAATTAGTGAAACGACCTGGCCTCTATTGGATGAGTGAAAAACATGATGATGCATTAAAATGGAGGTCCATGAGGCCACAACATTGCCAGTGCTAGTGATGAAATCACAAATTTGCAATCTTGTGGATGCATATAGTGCAGTGAATGAATGGAACTTTATTGAGAAGGAGTGGGGAAGTGGAATCTGATTGGGGACTGAGAATCGGAGAGAACATAAGAGAAAAAATGGTGAGATAGGACCTGGATCTGAGTTTTGAAGAGAGAAATGACAGGGAGAATTATTGATATGGCAAGAAAATCAGAGTGAACGAAATACAGAAAGGCAAGTGAACAGATCCGAGAAAGTGAGGAAATCACAAAGAAGATGAAGAAAAATGAGCTAATAGTAGCTCAATGCCGCAGAAGAGAATTTTTTCCTTATGGTTGATACCATGGGGAACTCTAATACCATGTTGAGAAACATGACAGAGCCCAAATTAGATAGAATGTAAAGAGCTATGTAGCACAGACATGCCTTCATACGGCAGCGTTCCTGTATCAGAAATGAATCCAACACAGACACAGCATGGACACGGTGTCAGACATGGTGTCGGACATGGCCCACCAAAATCCGACACAGTTCAATCATCAGACACTCTAACATGGACAAAGGGAAACCTCCACACAGACACGACCCAACACTCCAAGTGCACAGGTAAGCAACACAAGGAGCACAACAAAGATTGTGTGAATCAAAAACGCGAGATCAAGGATCACAACAGCATGTAGCTTGGAGACATCGATATCGCACTACAAGGATCCCTCGATGCTGCTGGTGATGTCGAGGAAGCAGTGGCAGCCCTCAGGGATGAAGGTGTTAGCGTAGAGGGAGAGGCTGATCTGGAGCGCCTAGAGGCAAGAGGCGACGAGGGTGGCATTGGCAGGGAAGAGGCAAGGGAGAGCGGCAAGGAGAAGGCAGAGGAGGGTGGAGAGGGAGGAGAGGAGGCTGTCAAGGGATAGGCAGTGGGACTTGATGGCAGAGGTCTAGAGGGTGAGATATAGGGGGACATTATGAGGGTAGGGGAAGGGGTGGAAGGGTTTGGCGAGGTATGTGTGGGGGGATTTCAGGTAGACATGGGTGCTGTTTATGAGATGGTACACTCCCAGCCTAAACAATGCTAAGGAGGATATCACTTTCTCACATTATTTGTGTCACCGTGCCCTATACTTTTTTATTTTTCTGTATCCCCTTGTTTGTGTCATATCCGAATCCGTACTACATAAGTAAAGAGAATTGCAGGGTTGAAAGGATGTATTATTGATACAAAACGAAGTTTGTATAAATTACAAAATTAATACTTTGGTTTATATACATGGAGGAGAGACTAACTAATCTAACCATCATCTTAACTAACTATCCTGAGCAATCCAACTATCTTTACTGATGAAATCAATATGAAACAAATAAAATTAGAACATATAAAAGGTATAAAGGAGTGCACATCAGTCTCCATGGCATTATGTGGAAAAGGTACGTTCTTAATCCAATTAAAACCAATATATTACGTTAAGCCGGTATGATGTACATAATAACATATTAAGTTCCTTTTCTTTTCCCCAACTGCTCATGAAGCAAATGTAAATTTGAAACGAGAAATTCCCAAGAAAATCCCGAGATTAAGCTCATTTCTTTACTTCCAAATAAGATTGCAAGCAAATTGTATGCCACTTTATGTAAATCCCCCCTCTCTCATCTGCATCAGTATCCTCAAGCAAACTAACAGTTGATTACACTTAGTCTTTCATTTAATAACACCATAATGTAGTAGAAGAATCTCCCCAAATTGAAAAACTTTATAGCCAAAAAAAGTACTAGTACAACCATTTCTCCCACTATATTGGTCAATTTTGTAAAACAAATCCATTGCACACAGTCCTTCAACAAAAAAGTTTGTACTACGCCATCATCCTCTGAAAGCAAAGTCTTATTGCATCATATCTGACAATCTATAAATCTATAGGTGCACTATTCATGCAAAGTTAAAACAGCTAGCAAGGCATACATACCTTCAGATTACCACAAATTGTCTGCGTCACAGCTGAATTTAGAGTTGTGTTGAGAAAAATACAGTAATTCAAGAAGAATGCCAATATGCAGGAAAAAAGCAAAATTACCTGCAGAAGAAGAAAAAATACAAAAATTACAACTTCTCATAATTTCAAACTAAGAGGAAACCAAGTTTAAAGCTGGGTGCTGATTGATATACACAGAAGGCAATTTCTTCTATATGAACAAAAATGCAGACCTTTTAATTGCAGGAAAAGTATCAAATTTTACACAATTCTCACCACATCCAATCAAATAAATTAAAGGAAGACCCAGTCCCAGACAGACATGGAACATTGGCAATGTTTTCAGACAATTGTCAAAAAGGAACATTAATTAAAACTGAAATTTATATGGCTTCTTTTGTGAGGAAAATGGAATAATCCAATTGCAACTACTGATCAACTAAGATGGATATAATCATATAACATATTTATTGTATTATATTCAACATTCTCAAAATGGACCAATCATAGAAACAATATAAGAAAAGTTTTAAGGGTTTGACCCTTTGAGGTTCAGCCCCAGGGTTCATATATACAAATATATTGTATAAATATAAAACAATATGCAATAAAAATATAATATACATATGTTAAGTGTATAAATAAAATCATGGAGAAAAAGATTGAAATATATTTTGAGAATTTTGGTGATGAGGCTTAGGCTTCAATTGGGTGTGCTTTGATAGGATATGTGCATCAGGACATAGTTAGGCTTAGTTTAGGATTTCATTATTGTTATTTTATTTTGGAAAAACTCATGTTCCATTTTCATGTAAATTTCGCATTTGGCCATGATTTATGTTTACGAATGTAAATTCTCTACTCTTATGTTAGTGGAACCATGATTTTAATTCAAAAGATTTATTTACTCTAAGAATATGTTTTCATAATTATTGTATATGTATGTTAGGGTAGAGGGTGTCACAATTTAAGCTTGTTAACAATTCAATTCAACTTGGTAGTTCAAATCACACGAACCAAGAATCAAACTTTTTTAATATGATACATTTTAACATTTCAATTTAATAAAATTTAAAAGAAAATGATTATTTTTTAAAGACAAAATATAACTTATTCTATTAGCTTTAGAAGATTACAATATATGACTGCAAAAGAATATAATTACAACCAAAGTTTGTATAAATAAAAACTATTTCATGTATTTCATAAAATAATAAAAAAAAATGCGATCCATAACCATGAAATCTTAATGTGTTCACTTTCTTTTTATCATTGACTTGTAACTAAGTTTTGAAGATTATTTCAAATTTTAATAAGTTAGAATTAAATAAAAAGTTAATTATATAAATTATATTTATACGATGAGTCAATTCATGAATCAAACAAGTTAAATTATATGCAAGTTAAATTTGATTCATTTATTTATCGAGCTTAATTTTTAATGTAAATTCAACTGATTTAATTAATGAATCAGGTTCAAAAAACTAATTATATAATTAAATTTTAAATTATGAGTTTTTTCAACTAATTAATACTCAAATTTTACCCAAAGTCTACATAAATAAAAATTATTTCACACATTACATAAAATAATAGAAAATTTGATCCATAACTACAAAGTATTAAGGTTTGTACTTTTTTTTAATGATTATTGATTTATAACTAAATTTTGAGGTTCTTCAAATTTTAATAAATTATAATTAAATAGAAAATTAATTATATAAACTACATATTTATAATTAATTTAACCACTAACATTCAAGTGTATATGTTAATGATTTGAAAGTTATATATGTTAATGATTAATTAATAATGTTAGATGATTAATTATTATGTAATAAAATTTATAAAATTATTAATAAAATGCGGAAATTTAAAAAGTAGGTAATAAAATTGGAAAGATGAGTGGTACGTAAAAATAAAATATATTGTTTAAGAAATATAGGACGAAAAAAAATTGTGTGGAACAGTGTGAGAACTGACTTATTATTGTGTTAATGCAAGTGACGTGTTTCCTATGAGCATGATGAGGATGAGAATCTCTTATATGTGACCTTGTGACTATGAGTATGAGAAATGTGAAATGTGAACAAGTGACATGAGATATGATATGATATGATAAGTAAAGTGATGAGTCCATGAAGTGTGAATGTGTGTGACATGCATCATGTGCATCTATATGACGGGTACGATATGGAGTACATCGTTAGGGAAGACCATCCTTGTGTAACAACTTGGGGGAGTCTTAGGGGATAGTGCGGTTTGGATGTCTCGATTCCGCTCGTTTGTGAGCATGAGACGTAACTTGCATAGCTTCGCTATCTCGACCAAACCCTAGCAGTACATCCTTCTAGTTGAGAGTATATGGGTAGCTCCATACATGTACTCCTAGACCATCTTAGGTGTGTTGTTTCAGCAGCACACCAGTGATATGTGATATGTGATATGTGACTGGCGCCACATGCATGCATCTATGAATCGAATCCATAACATCATTGCATGATGAATGATTGCGTATGTGGTACCGTTGTATGTGTAACTTGAATTTGTACTTGATTAATGTGTAGCTATGTTTGTGTTTGTTATGATTTATGTGTGTTGTCTAACCGTTATTTCTACACCTTAACTTGAGTGAGATGTTTCTCACTCCCCTGTTTCTCTTTGTATGTGTTTAAGTTGTGTTGTAGGTAATCATCAACATGAGAATTTTGGTGATGAGGCTTAGGCTTCAATTGGGTGTGCTTTGATAGGATATGTGCATCAGGACATAGTTAGGCTTAGTTTAGGATTTCATTATTGTTATTTTATTTTGGAAAAACTCATGTTCCATTTTCATGTAAATTTCGCATTTGGCCATGATTTATGTTTACGAATGTAAATTCTCTACTCTTATGTTAGTGGAACCATGATTTTAATTCAAAAGATTTATTTACTCTAAGAATATGTTTTCATAATTATTGTATATGTATGTTAGGGTAGAGGGTGTCACAATTTAAGCTTGTTAACAATTCAATTCAACTTGGTAGTTCAAATCACACGAACCAAGAATCAAACTTTTTTAATATGATACATTTTAACATTTCAATTTAATAAAATTTAAAAGAAAATGATTATTTTTTAAAGACAAAATATAACTTATTCTATTAGCTTTAGAAGATTACAATATATGACTGCAAAAGAATATAATTACAACCAAAGTTTGTATAAATAAAAACTATTTCATGTATTTCATAAAATAATAAAAAAAAATGCGATCCATAACCATGAAATCTTAATGTGTTCACTTTCTTTTTATCATTGACTTGTAACTAAGTTTTGAAGATTATTTCAAATTTTAATAAGTTAGAATTAAATAAAAAGTTAATTATATAAATTATATTTATACGATGAGTCAATTCATGAATCAAACAAGTTAAATTATATGCAAGTTAAATTTGATTCATTTATTTATCGAGCTTAATTTTTAATGTAAATTCAACTGATTTAATTAATGAATCAGGTTCAAAAAACTAATTATATAATTAAATTTTAAATTATGAGTTTTTTCAACTAATTAATACTCAAATTTTACCCAAAGTCTACATAAATAAAAATTATTTCACACATTACATAAAATAATAGAAAATTTGATCCATAACTACAAAGTATTAAGGTTTGTACTTTTTTTTAATGATTATTGATTTATAACTAAATTTTGAGGTTCTTCAAATTTTAATAAATTATAATTAAATAGAAAATTAATTATATAAACTACATATTTATAATTAATTTAACCACTAACATTCAGCTTTGTTTATCTTTCATATTTTACCAAAAAAAAAAAACTAAGGTACTATACTAATAATGACATGATTTTTTAAACTAAAAGCTGAAAAGTGGAAAATATACACACAATTCCTCCTTACTCTCCATTTCGTCTATTTAACAGAATAGATACCTATCCCTCTCTCATCTGACTAACTCTTCTCTCCTAAATGCCTTTGGGAATAATATCCTTGCAGAGGCTTTCTAGTAATATACCCAAGCCTTGGTGACCCCTGGGTTAAATAAATTCTAGCCCGCTAGATTATTTGGATTAGGAATCAGGATTCCTATCAAAATACTATATTCTTTTGGCAAGTAACCAAGTAAGGCCCAAGAGTGAATAGTGAATACAACAACTTATTGAAGGAAAAAGTCAAAAGCAGCAGAACATACGATAAAACCAGGTGAGAAGAGATATGGAAAATTGAGTGTTGTCTTCAAGTCACCACGAACAAATGTCCAGATGAGTAAAACTGGTCCACATATGATACCTATAGTAAAATAGAAAAGTATTTCAAATAAGAAATTCCGTTACACTCAAATGGGTAAGAAAGTTTTATAGGCCCATCATACAATATATCAGCTTACCATTGCACCACATAAGGCCAAAGCTATTAAGACCACTAGTTTTCCCTGACAAAAAGAAATGATACCATAAAAATAAGAAAATGCAGGCTAAGAAGGAAAGAAGGTACAAAATTTCCACTTTATGAGAGAGTGAGACTATAGGAATACAACCAATGCGGGCTATGGTTGCAAGATATATTGCTGTGGCGATGTTTGACATGAAAACAACAGCATATCCATAAGCATCAAAAGAAAAATCCCGTGCTCCCGCAACAAATGCGCCAAAGACAATCAAGCCGACACTGATAACAGCCTTATAAATTTCAGTTAAATGAATGAATCAGGTAGATGCTCATTCAAATACAATTGGAACAACTTCATTGTATTATAAATGAAAAGGGGAAAATAACCAAAAGAACAGAAAAGCAGTTACATCATGCTTGATGCAAATACATATTTTTTTTAAAGTTCATCAGGGGGTGCATCTGACATAACTTCCAACGTACACCAAATATAGATTGCATAGACTAAGTATGACATAGCTTAAGCTTTTAGGGTAGTTAGGTCATGATATCGTTTCAAAGCCTCCTGACCAAGTAGTTAGGAGTTTTATGTCGTCTCCCACCTCCCAGTTTTTTAAAAAAATTAAATTTCAGGTCATGGTAAAAAAATTATCAATAGCACAATATTACACATCTATAGCGGCGGAACAGTTAGTGGCCTCCAATTGCTACCTGTTTCTATAGCATTGCATCTTGCTATAGCAAGAATCATGGCCACAATCTCAGAAAAATGCAGCCATCTTGTTTTCTCCCCTTCTCCTTTGTCTCTGTTCACAAATCTGTGTTCTGATTTTTTTTCTATATTCCTTCTTTTTATTTTACTTATATAGCCTTGGAGTTCAATGTGCTTACCAGGGGCATACAAAAGGTTATCCCTAATTGCAAGATTTTTGCAAATGATATACTTTTGATTGAGGAATCAAGCAAGCAATTAACTTTAAACTTGAGTTTTTGACAATTTGAAAACAAAGGGTTTTGGCTTAAGTCGGATAGATTACATGCATTGCATATTTAGCAAGAAACAAGAGGAATATGACATGGAAGTAAGAATGAGAGATGTCTTTAATTTTGGTTAATTTTTTATTTTTCAGCATTTAGACATGTATGGTGTAAATTATTTAATTCATTCCATAATCTTCAAATGCCAAACCATCCCACTAAAGCAATTTTGGGGTTAGCCATTCCATTCCACATTGCTATTTAGGATTGATAACCATGGTAAAAATAGGTCAATGCTTTATCAACACTGCAAGTCCAAAGGGCCTTGCATAAGGGGGCATGTTAAAGATTTAATGATGCCATTCATGTGCCTTCACTCAGCACAACTTAAGCTTTTTTGATAATTGATTTGTGGTACTTACAGTCATCAAGTTAGTCATGTCATTTCATCACACGAATTCAAATTATATATCCCACAATAAATCATAGCAAATCTGTATATATAAACAAACATAATGCAGTTCATTACTACAACATTAAACTATGCACTTTACATATGTTGCTAAAATTTTGGGTGGATAAATCAAATATTTATTTGAACAAAATGTGGTATACAGCAGATCATATTATGCAATGGAGAAAGGGCAATTTACCTGAAAATGACAGAACGTGTATACCTCTGCCCCACCAGAACAAACTCCACAAACATTGTAAATACCACTGTGGTCCTCCTAAGAGTTGTGTACATTGGAACATTTACTCCACGAACAGACTCCATGGTGACTAACTAAGGAGAAGTACAGGGGTGAATAAAGATAATAAGCAAAAATTAAGTATTGAATATTGGTCCTCTTTTTTCAAGGGGAAGAAGGGTATACCATGTAAAATAAATATGCTCCTGACAAAGGAAGAGTGTGCTTCAAAGTCTTCAATGACACAAATTTTGTTGAGTTATCTGATATAAGTAAGGACTCATTTGCTGAGAAAGAAATCATCCTCCAGCGTCTCAATAAATAGAGAAAGCAACATGAACATACCATCTGAAGAAGAATAGAAGTATGTTTAAAATTGTGAAATGAATCAAGTGGATCTTCACAACTATAGATTGGCAATTGTCCAGCCTTAGTGGGCCAATAGAAGTGTAGACACTGCATAATATCCTAAACTTTTAGATTCAACATAATCCTCTTCCACCTCTTCTCCACGCAATAAAAACTATTGCTTTCTTGCATTTTCGCTTTCAAATAAGGTGATCGATTGATCCCTAACAAATTATTCTGAAGAACTTAACTTTTGAAATATAGAGACTTTGCTAAACATACAGAACAACAAAGTGTTAATTGACTATTAAAGAAGGAAGAGAATGCAGAGAAGCAGACAAAAGCAAGTTTAGAGCAGAACTGATAATTTACAAAGCATTCCATCCTCCATGACAATGAAAATAAGTACCCTTAAGAGAGTCACTCCCTCTGTTCTCAATTATAAGTAAAATAACCAATTTCACACATATTAAAAGAAGTAGTGCATTAAGTTTTGCTATTCCCAGAAGATTCCTAAGCTGTCGTTGTTATAAATGTAAAATAGAGAAAATATCATCTTAAAAACAGAGATAGCATGGAGTATAATAAATAAATCAAGCATGAGAACAACGATTAGAGTCAAGCAGAAAGGTTTTGGTCTTCTTCCTGAAAGAAAGGTGAATTATGAAGTATATTTGCATAGAATTTTCTGCAATACATGAGAAAAAGCTTCAAATAGGGGAAAAAGAGAAAACCTGAAGAAGAGTGATGACGTTGGCGGATTGGAAGCGATAAGAGGAGAGCGCAGCCTTGTTGAACATGACCAAGAGAACTGGGGGAAGGAGAAAGAGAAAGAGAAAGAGGAGAGAGATGAGGAATAGAGGAAGAGAAGGGGAAAGAAAAGGAAAAGGCGAGGGAGGAACCTGCGCAGGACATGTAAGAGAGGGCGGCGAAGGCACCGCGTTTGGTGAAGGCGGAGCCTTTGAAGAGCTTGTCGTCGGGGGCGTAGGGGTCTTGGCCCTTGGGAGGATCGGAGACCGGAAGCACCAGATTCTCCGACGAAATGGAGCCTTTCAGAGACATGGCTGTCGTGGAATTCAAGGGATTGCGAGTTTGAAGGAGAATTCGAGCAAGCCAACGAGGTTAGACGCCACTTGCCAATTCTAACTTCTAACTCCCCCTACTTGTCTTCGTCAACTCTCTTCTCTCAACTCCTACTTCTGCTTTTTCTATCTAAATTACTATTTTATTTTAATAATTAAATAAGTTAATTATTTATATACTGCCCGTGTAAAAAAAATTTATACTAATAACCAATTATATCTTTTAATTGTACCATATCACTATAAATATATTTATTTTTAATAGTGACATGACACAATTAAAAGATATAATTAGTTGCTAATATAAAATATTTTCTCACTAGTGTTTAACTCTAATTAAATAAAGAAGAAAAAAAAAAACTTATGGCCTGCGTTAGAAATCATACATAGCATGTGGACAATTATCAAAGGATGTAAAATAAAAAATCCTTATACTTAAATTGTATCTCATATTTTAAATATTGATAAATTTAACTCATCTAATGTCCCTTACTCAAATCAAACCTAGGTCCTAGATTATAATCTCAGTGTAATATATAAAAGAATTTAGAAAAAGGAAGAAAAGCCACTTTGATACTAAAATTGGAATAGATAATAAAAAAAAAAATTTCTCTAAAAGTGCGTATTGTGACCTCCATCATATTTTTATTGTTGTATAAAAAGAGTACTATAAAAATGTAGCTTGCAATAAATAATTACAAAATTATTTTAATTAACTATAATATCACATATATATTTCGTTTGGTCAATCATAATTTTATTAAAAAAATTACAATCACACACGTTATCTTGAAATTATTATGTACAATAAATTATTTATAACAAATTAAAAATTAATAAAAGCATTGATTCTTCACCTGTTTAAATTATATATTTTTATATTTAATTAAATTATTACAACTATCAAGTATGTTGATTAATTAATACAATATTATTTTAATTTAATTAATAATTTTGAGTTTGAGTATAAGTATATACTTCATAAATCCTAAACCCTAAACTCTAAATCACCACACACAAATATACCTCATAGATACAAAATGCAAGAAACAATATTGAGGAGAAAAACACCAAGAAAATTACAAGCAAAACCAGAAACTCTTTCCATATTTAACATAGGGACTATTAACTAGTCAATAGGTACAAAATCCAACACTTTGCATTTGTTACCCATTAAATACATGCAACAAACATGCATTAGTTATAACCAAAGTGTTAGAACTCTTTTTTCCTATGGAGCTCAGAGCTTGAGAGGTCTATGCATTATCCACCCATGTACCATTATAAACCACCCAACTCAACCTCACTTATAACTCTTTTGCCCTCAAGGACTCAAAGTTCAGGGGAGGTTATCTACAGTCAAGCTAGCTATCTCCTTCTCGTCCATACTAGACCTTCAAGGTTGAAATTATGAATTCAAACTCCAAGTAGTTAAACCCTTAACCAATAGAATCTTCACACAATCACTAGAATATATCTCCAATATATCATATAACATATCTCCATATATCATATTTCCCTAAATCAAGGATCAAATTATCCAGAACTATCTCTACTCATCAACATCAATATCTTAAAAAATTATGTGATATTATCTCTAAGACTATAGATAAAATCAATAACCTATATATAGGACACCAGGTATTAATCTACCTCAACTTAATTCTTAACTTAGACTCTCCTCTAACTTGGGCGTCAGAATGTCTTTGTAGGTGCCACCACCATTATAGATATTTGAGCAACTAGGACCTTACCGCCACCGTGAAAACACTTTCAAAAATTTTGGTAAGAATAAGTTGACAGTTCTCACATAATAAGAACATTTTTTTCTTGGTATGACTTGAATTCCTTCACATGGAACATTTTTTAGGTAGTCCAAATTCTTTCATATTCATTTTTGTGTGTATATGCGAGGATTTTGGAAGACCCTTTTTTATTTCTTTTGATGTTCGAGTTGGGGTAGATTTATAGTTTATTACATTGTGACTAATATTGTTCATTGCCAACTATTTAAACAATGTTTTGTACATGTTGGAGATGTATTTCAATATGCAAACATAATGTATATATGTAAAACGTGTAATCATGGTGAACACATTTACAAACAGTAATGACATGTAAGTAAGACATATGTAATTTTTGAAATTTGTCACAATTACACCACATTTCATCCAATTTGATTATGAATTGTCTAGCCAGTTGTTCCTTTCTTAGGTTAAGTATCTTATGCACCAGGAAATGCATATCCCATTTGTCAAACTTAAACACGTGGTATCAGTAGACACAAACACTATTAATTATTTCCCATGAATTTGAAACTTAATTTTGGCTTAAATATTTTTCTTATCTCTCAAGTATTATAATCATGCAATTTTGATTCCTAAAATTTTAATCAAATAATTTTAGTTATTCAAGTGTTATAATTATATAATTTTGATTTTTAAAAATTTTAATTGAATAATTTTAATTTATCAAATATCACATTTATTCAATTTTAGTCTCTCCTACTAAAAATATAATAATTTTAAAATTATATATATATATATATATATATATTAAAATGAT